TACATGCTGACCTGGTCAGAGAGTAGCCCTAATAAAAGAAAGTTCACAATTATTTTTCGCATAACTATACAATCACAACGCTGAGGTCAATTTGGTAATCCTTCGACTCATCTCTTCAAACAGGCGAAACTATAAAATAGCATGCACTTGTTAAGGGGTTCTTTTGAAATCCGGCTTCTGCTCATGTCAACTGCTTTCACTCACTCAAACTCCCTGGAGGGTGTTTCTCCAAACAGGTGCATTTTAGCGGTTACTAAATTAATCGCAATTGTCTTTAAGACTGTTTTTATAAAGGTTCTTGTATAATAAATAAGATAAAACTGCCCACCAGCCTCCCTTATAACCGATGAATAGGCTAATGAGAATCCCACGAGCCGTGCTACGCCATGACTACACGACTTTCCTCGGGCGTTCGCCGTGAAGAGGATCAAACTTCAGTTCAACTTGGACTAAAGAGCTATTTTAAAGTTTGTGGCATTCTGTTTCTAAGGCACCGAAACACATAGATAAAACGGCTTAATCTAACGGTAGCAAGTTCATTTGGCAGAGTCATTTGTTCGCATTTCAAATAAAAAGTAAGCTATGACAACATGACAGATGCTGATCATTTCGAGCATTCATTCTAAACCCCCCCTTTGGCGTCGTTTTAGATGGTCTGTTTGCCTCGCTTGCTTTCATAGAGGATTTCGCAATATTTCTGCCTTTGGTTACTTTCGAGGGCCGGTGACAGGACGCAAAAAATAACCTTTAAAATCGGCCGTTCCCGGTATTTAACCGTTAGATGAAAATCAGTCAATTCAGACATAAGGCTCGACCAGGGCACCACTTAAATATGCTTTTCGGCCCATGGAAAATATAGTATATTCATAATGAATATACTTCGATACTACCAGTAGAGCGCGAATAAGAATTGTATTCACCCTAGGCCCCATAAACTGATGAAAAACGGATAGTTGCATTTTCCACTCAAGATCTGCTGATGATATCGAAACCTACTCACTATGATTATAAGTAACGCAGTCGAATTAAAGGGCACATACAAGCTCATTACATCAACACACCTTCTGTGACAAATGTAGTACTGGAGAAGCCTGGCTTGCCGTAAAAGTTACATTTGCCCTCTGGCCAGACCGCGCTTGTGGCTGTGTTGCGTAGGGGAAATGTATCGCCTTCCGGTCTCGAAGCCCCGTTGGAGGTGCTGATGACAACCATGCGAAGTCGAAACCCCAGTCCACTTGAGACTAGAGAACATTTTTGGCGGTAGGTCTAAGAGATCTTCACTGGCATCGTGCAATCCATTCATTTGATTCGGGGTCAATTCATCTGCTATTCAATAATGACCCGGGGTGAACACAATTCTCATGTAAATGCCATTTGTGTGTGTGTTTTATGTATAAGTATGTTTGTACGCGTTTGTAGGTATTCGTGTACCTGGTTGACTGTCACTATTTATGGCAGTCTGTGTGTCTTGTTCAAGTTTTCGTGTGTATATATATATATACGAAATTTCGTTTATGGTCAGAATAACGTACAGATTTAATAGCATTTTTGCACTTATAATGAGGCTTAGTGCTGGCAAGCGAAAATATTTGGCTGTTTCCCACAGTACTGATAAGTATGAGGATAAAGATGATGATTGTCGGGCCTTAAAGAAGATGCACTACGGCGTAAGTCACTATTGTTGACAATAAAGGCGAATCAAATATTTGAGCTGTGTTCAGCCTATTTTGTTTAAGGTGACGAAGAAAGTGTAGTTGAATTTTCCCAAAATGCTATGAGTAGACATGAAGCTTCCATTTAATTTCGCGTAGCTTTGCTTTCCCAAAGGGTATTCTCATTCGAGCAGGAATGGACTGCAGTTTCGACCTCGCCTAGGCTTTATCAACGCCCACAGCGGGACTCGAACCATGACAGTGCAGCGTACACTCTCTACACGTTAGCAACTACACCACATTTCCACGAGTGTCCTTAGGTGACAGAGCAGGTGTGAATTCCAATGAAGGCCAGACATTCTCCGATACCATATTCTATGGTGAAATTGCCGAAGAAGCAAACTTATATTTGCCATAGCAATCGACGATATTACTCAGTTCGTTTTGAGTAGGTCTTTTATTATCTTAAACGAAATAGAGTCAACATACCTCATCTATCTGATTTACTGGTAGTCACGAAACCCTAGTTCTAAACGAAAAATGACCAGATAGTTGTCTTTTCTTCTGTCAACTTTGGCTTAATGGCGCCCATGGTTAGGGAAAACGGATGCAATAGTGAACCGCCGTTTAGATTCCAGCCGGGCTTATATGCTCAGTTATCGTGTTAATCGGTGACCGCTGAGTCCAGATTTCCTGATAAGGCCAGAGTCTTTGGAACGATACCGATTGACGCATTTCCAGTTGAGTCGTCACGACGTTGCCCAGGCGGGTTGAGACGTCGACGAATTTGAGCGCATCCCCAACCGACAACGGTCATTTGCCCACGAGCCAGGGCCAAGTTCGTCCTGCACGTGGAGACCAACACGGCTGTGCACTGGCCGGCCGACTGACAGTACTCCTTTTGTGTGTGTGTGTCTGTCTAATGGGATTTTCATATAGGGTTCATCTGTGGAATCGCAGGTATGCGCGTGTGTCTGTGCGTGCTGGTGCGTAAGTACCGGCAGTCGACATGGACACGGTATTGCTGGGATAAATCCAGCCACAAACGGTCGGCCAATGGCGCTTTTTGCCACTACACCAGAAAAAGTGGTGCAAGATTTCCTCACTTCGCCTATTCACCTTTTTATGCAGCCCCCCCCTCCGATATCGCCATGCCAACTCCATGTAGGCTTGTGTGTAGACATAGAAACGGTTGTTTTAATGCATTTAAAGTGTGAGGAAGTAGCATAATAAGAAAAAAAATTGTTATACCCCAGAGGACCAGAAGTGTTTGAGTGTGTGAAGACTGGGAGATATAAGAGGCATAGAGGGGATGATGGAAAAAATGTGCCGCCAATGGCCATTGCGATTGGGGCACAGAGAGGAAGGTGCTTTCCTTTGGCCCGAAGTGAAGCTGTTTGTTTAGCTTCACTTTGTTCTACACGTCCCCTCCTCTGCTCGCGCATTTACGGTCGTCCGGCTCTTCTGCCTTTGTAGTGCCGTCTAGAGGCCGCCACACCGGCTACACCAGCCTCTGAGGCTGGCACAACGACGACCCGACGCGAACAGTTTCCCCTCGCGGCCAAGGGAGGTGGGCGGGTGCTGATCTGATGCCCTGACGGGTGGTACAGCTCCCACAAACGGGGAGCACCACACTGCAACACACCACATTCAGGCAAGCAGGCAGAAATACCTGCCATTTTTCGCTCAACAAGCTTGCCCACTTGCCCAAGCCACGGGCCTAACTGCACATTTTGCCCAATGTCCGTTTCTTTTATGCGCCAGCTGACTGGCAAACCCACTGACAAACCGGCACTTTAAATCCGACACTCCAACTAACAGCCGAGCTACCGGCAATTCGGTTAACTGGGATGAATTAAACTCAATCAGTCAATGACAATTCAATGGCTAATCGGTTTAATTACACATTAATCTCCTCAAATATCCGGTCATTTGAATGTCAGTTTCCCTTCACTTGGTTACAATATTTACGGCTAATCGCAATCTCACCTGCCTTCTGAGCCCCCCATCCGAGTCCAAATGTATTGTTTTACACTTCGACCTTGACAACAGGTTGTTCACAAGCCTATACAAGCATACACACACACACACACACACATAAACCAGCCTCATCAAATTTTTTTCCCAAAGTGATTCACTATAATTCTGATTTATCCTTTTTCTGCTAACTGTTACACATATTTATCCAGTCTTATCTTCATGAGCATAGTTGCACTGACTATGAATATTGTTGTCTGACCACCTTGTGTGTATACGTGCTGAATAAACTGAAGGCAAATCTAGACAAGGTATTTTGTGTCTCTTCCCCGCTAAACACATTTTCTTGTCTCTCACCTACTCATAGGCATAGAGACACATGCACAGAGTCGATTTTTTTCCTCCAGTCTGTGTGTAAAATATATATCCTCTGATCAGCTGGTTTCGGGCCAACTATGGTTGGGCCCTGACACTAATTCAACTGTGTGATTTCTGCGCAAAACTAGATCTGATAAGTTGGCCTGGGTGCTTCTGATATAGGCAAACACATCCGCCTCAGCACACTTATATGCACACACACAAACACACCGCATATTTGAATGTGCATGGAGCAAAGTGACTGTAGGCTGGTCGGTAAGACGAGCAGAGAAGCGAGCATTGAAGTGGGTTGGGGATTGTATGACATTCGATACGGACTCCTTTTTCACTCATCAGATGTGAATGTCTGCCCATGGCGTGTGTCCAAGTGCCTATGGGCGTGCGCGTGCGTGTATATGAAAGTGCAAGTGTGTTGTGTACATGAATCTGAGTGCGTGTGGCTAATGTTCAAACCTGTATGAATGAGCGAAATAGCAAAAAGGATATATTTTCGCCCCAGGGGCAACTATAGTACGGACATATTTTTGCCCGTCTGAGTATGCCTGTGTTGTGCGCACAATTATTGATGCACTTCACATGCCCTTGTGACTCATCGGCACAAAATTGCGTGCGAACAGAGCCTAACCACTCTCAACACACACACACACACACATACACACACACATATATAAGCAAGTAGGATAAACTCATAGATGTTCTTGGTGTGAATTTCCATCCCCTCCGACCAAGCCAGACCAGACTAGACCGAACCAGATAAGAACGAACGGTGGAGTGGACCAAATTGCCAACGCAAAACTACATTTGCCCTCGTCTGTGCTGGGCCAGAAGAGGGGGTCGAGCTGGAGTATGGCCTGACGAGGCTAGAGGGGGGACGGGAGGAGTCGAGCGGGTCGGAGAGTGAAGGAGTGTAAGACTGTAGAGGCATCACCTGCGAGATGGGAGAAACTGGGATGTGACGAGTTTTCGGAAGCCAAGGGCTTCTTCAACCTTCTACCCATGCCGGTATCCGAGATCGAACCAGCTCCGTCGACACCTCCGAAAGCCTTCCATTAAAAATGAGTATGCTTTGCAACCATCAGGCATTCCTAATATGAGGATTACTAGTGGTGCTTTCCCCATACTCGTATTGGTAGGCAAATATTTTTCATTTCGATATTACTCATATTTATTATAAGTAGGCATCTATCTTATCGATACTTCGTTAATAAGAATCTCCAGTCCAAAAGCTTTCTGTAACCACCGGCAGAGGGGCTAGACTGTCAAGACGAGTGGTCATCAGGAGCTCCTTAGGCTTGCGCTACGTTGTCGCCCGAGGCGCCACAGAAGTGGGATAAAACTAAAATCGCACAGGCGAACAAAAGAGAGCATGACGGCACAATACGCAAGTCAACCAGTCACATCATCGCTAGGAAATGAGTGAAGGACCGTTGCAGTCAGAGAATAGAGGGCCCTGAAGCTGTGCAAGACGATATGATCTGTCAAAATGACACAAATTACATGTCGAACCGGAGTGGAAACTCGATGTCTCGTTTGTTTCCAGTCCCCCTTAGCCTTGCATCACAAAATGTATTCTTATCCAAGATTGACTGTGGGAAAGTTCACCCATCAGTGCTTCATCCCTTACACCATCTAGCGTGAATACAATTCTTATTCAAGATCTTCTGACAGTCTCGAAGCCTACTTACAATGAATATAAGTAATTTAGTCGTTTTTAATGAAAATATCCCATTTTTAAATGTGGTATGGGAGAGGTTCGGCTCGTCTTGAAATTACTATATGCCTGTGACTCATTGACACTCATTGAAGTGTGGCGTAGTGGCAAACTGTTAAAAGTATACCCTGTCCTACCACAAGCTATGTTTGAGTCCCGCTGAGGATGCTGACGAGACCTAGGCGAGGTTGAAGCTGAGGTCCACTTCAGTCGAGAGAAGAATACTTTTTGAGCAGCAAGGCTAAGTGAATGTTAATGGAAACTAAAGGTCTACTCATACCATTGGATAAAAGTAGACTATCAATCCTTTGCCACATTATGTAAACTAGAGTGACTAAAAGTCTTATTAAAAATTCGTATTTTGCCATTACAAACAACTACGTTACTTATATTTATTGTAAGTAGTCTTCGAGTCCATTGTTAGATCCTGATAGCGGCGTGTTCACTCTATATCATATAAGGTGAGGAAGAAGCGAAGATCGAATTTAACCTAAATGAGGATACATTTTTGTATGCAAGGCTAATGTGAGGCTGACTAATATGAACATGGGAAAATTAAATTGTCAGTCCCTTATGGCCTCATGCATCTTAGGGTTCAGAGGCAATATTTCTTTAGTTTGCCGTCTGCCTATACTTTATGGTATTGCCTCGTGTATCCCATCCAATTAGGCTGAAATTCGCTGTTGAATCTGTCCTGATGTTTTTGTTTTCATACTCTCACAGTCATGGTTAGAATTCCTCTGGTTGAGTGGAGTCGTCGTCCAGTCTAAATGGGTATGACACTTTGCGGTCAATTCCTCGTGAGTAGAGCTGTTATAGGGCCCTGTAATACCATGCATACATGATGCCTATTAATAACAACCAGATGCCTGAGGGTCGTGACCAAATGACTGTCAAAAACACGTCATCAGTAACAGCATACGAGCCAGAGACCGAGTGAAACAGTGAATAAAGTTAGAAACTGTCCAAGCAAATTCGTGCTAATCCGTTTGAAGTGGAGAGGACCTCTGGCAAAATAGGGCCCTATTTTAGCAAAAGAATACTCTGATGTGATGCAACTCCAGTTTTCATCTGCTCCAAATTAAAGGAGGCATTCCACACAAATGGCTTGAGTGGAGTTTAGGATAGATCTGCGGCAGAATATATCACAGTGGAGACCAATTGGCTCAATTCAAATCAGGGAAAAATTACGAGACCAATTTTAATGAAGGTGGTTTTTGATATTAGCATTTATTCGTGAATTGTAATATGGGTCAGACTAGGAATGCCAAAAGATATTTTCCCTTTGTGAGAAAATTAACTTCCATTTGACATCTGAACTAGTCAAGTTGAGTTGGATCATGAAATGTTTTTTGAAAAGATGGGAGGATTCAGGGGACGCAACTTGATGAAAGTAGTTTTCAGCACTAACATACACTCTTGAATACGAATTTGGGTCGTACTAGTTCGGTTTGGATGAGATAAGCAATGATAAATGAAATTTCCCATTGTGATAGGATCAACTTCCATTTGACTTTCGAACTAGTCAAGTTGAGTTTGAGCCCGAAGGTCCCATAGATGTGGTTTTCGAGCGTCTGGCCTATTATCTCTAC